TCCCTACAATTTATCTAGGCTGCTACAACTTCCCTTCCAATTACACAGCCATAGTAGTGGCTCCCCCAAAGCACAAACAACGCCCCCTCCACGCACACGAAATTTGGGAATCATAGATTTTTAAGGAATAAAAATGCACACCTGTATGAAGAGCAGAGTCCCAGATTGGCTTTTGAGCCAAATGCTGCTTCACACTCAAAGATTATCCTATATGAGAGACGAGGATGCTCCACCATGCCAGGGTGGGAAGCAGCTTTGTCTCCCTGAAGCCAGAAGAGCCAGGTGCCCTGCAGCCAAAGCCCAGGGCTGTGGACCAGGTCAGTGGGACGACGCTGAAGTGGCCGGACACTCACTGTCAATACCAACGCCTGCCTCGTTACAGCTACAAGGATGCTTAATACTTGACTTCTTCCCAATTCATCCAGGGTTTTCCCCAAAAGGAAATGGAGGGAAACAAGAGCCTGGTGGTTCTAATTTACGCCTGTACAAACCAAGTTGGGAGCCAGGCTAGCGAACTGGCCTCTGCTTCTGTGCTTCTTTCCAGAGCAACCCAGCTCCCAGCAGGGCTGCTGCAGAGCTCAGCACCGGCAGCCGGGCTTAGGAGAGGACAACGTCCCCAAGAAGGAGCAGGGAGGTGGCAGCTGGGAACGCTGTCCTGTCCGGGCTGGGACCAAAGGGATGAGGCTGCATAAAGACTTGAGGAAAGGGCAGAGGTGATGAGGTGGGGAGCCAGGATAACAGAAATAGATAAGGGGATCATCCAAAAAAATGGATAAGGGATCATCCAAAGGGGATGCAAGGGAGATTGCCCTTGAGATCATCCCAAAGGATATCAGGAGGCAGGCAGAGGCCAGGCAAGCACAGGCAGAGGTGCAGCAAAGTGCAACAAAGAGGCTGGTGTCAGCATAGGACGGAGCAGGCTTAGGATTATCCCAGCAGAGAGGAAGGCTGCAAGGGAAAGAAACAACCTGGACGGACTGGAGAACAGAGTCCAAAGGCGAAGGCGTAAGCAGAGAGCGAATTAGCGAAGGCTCAACAACATGGCAAAACAACAGAGATGCTCAACAGGCAATAATATACCCTGCAGCTGAGGAGGAAGCCCCTCGCTAACTGTGCAGCTAAGCCAACAGATGGAGCAGCAAGGTGGACGTGGAGTTTTCAAGGCAGAGCCCTCGAGTCAAATCAAATGCAGTCTCACACGGGCGGAGGAGCTCAGCGAGAGGTGAACTGTGGGACACCGACGGTGTCGGGGCCAGGCTTCTGGCTAGGACAGCAGGACCCAGTAAGTAGGGCAGGGAAGGGGACTCGTCCCTTCGCTAGGTCATGCCATGCCACCTCCCTTCTCAGCCTCCGCTGGGAGCTCACCCTCCCTACAGCCAGCAAAGACGGAGGCGGCAGCGCAGCGCGCAAGGCTTATTTCTATGCAGGAGCCTCCACCGGGCACCCAAAAATTGGGATTTATTGCACGTAATCCATACAGTCAAGCTACACATACACAGCAAAGACCAATGCATCCAGAGCCCACCAGTTCAGTCCTGACATGCACAGCAGCACTGGCATACTCCTGCTATGCCAGACCCACTGCTTCCCATGAAGCCAACTCCTCCTTGGCCTATCTGAGGGCCGCGGTGGGGTGCTGCTCACCATCCTCTTGGGAACAAGGGTTTATGTTGCACTCCTCTTTCCCAGGTGAAATAACACTCCGCCCAATCTTTACCCCTGGGTTGTTTCCAAATCACCCACCACCCCTGACTCCCTGTAGGACTTTTTCCAGGTTGGCCTCATCCCTCTATGAATGGAGCATCCCCCGGCCTCGTGCATCAGAAAGGACAACAAGGATTATGCACTGAACCAGTGTTTCGGGAGACCTTCCACAGCAGCGGGAGGTGGCACCTCCTCAGCAGCACAAATTTTCCTCTCCCCACTCCTCCGTTAAGGAATAGACCCCATCGTCTGCCCACGGAATGCCTTGGGCACGGCCTCCCGGCCGGAGGATGCCCCCACTTCCCCGGCCAGGCAGGAGAGCAGTCCCAAGCCTACGGGACACGGGACAAGGTGGCTAAGACATGACCTGCAGTCATTACAATCCCAGCAGAATCGTGCCAAAATGGAAGGAGGTGGCAGGGTGCTCACACCGCGCCGTGCCCCTCGGCGCCTGCCGGGAAGCAAAAGGCAAGCTGGGGCACTGCGGGGAGCAGCTTTGTCACTCTGTCAGGCTCGTCTGCTCAGGAATATCAAATGCCACCAACTGGATCTGCTTCATCTCCCACTGCTGGAAGAATTCAGCTTGTTAGGAAACCAGCAAACGAGCCTTGTGGATGCTCTCGGGATCCTCACCATGCCCGGGCATGCTGGCACTCAGGCTCCAGCTGAACCCACTGTTTGCCCCAAAACACTTCTAGGGTCGCCGGGAAAGCGGTGGGGAGGCAGCTGCTGTCCTCGCCCTGCTTCTGGCCACAAGCCCTCTGGCCCCACAGGCTCCCTGTCTCATTACCGAGACCTCCTGGCATGGGTCACGGGGTGACGGTTAAGCCACGCCAGCCCTCTCAAGTTGCCATTTCAGGGCCGATGGCTGTGGGAGCAGTAGAGGAGAGGCTTTTCATGCCACCACCACCCTTCCTGCTGGAGCGGGGCCGGGCGCTGAGCTCTCCGTGCTGCCCAGCAGCTCCTGGCTCCACCGCAGAGATGTCCACCTTGTGCCCCAGCCGCCAGTGTGCCGCATGTATACAGCCATCACCTGCGCCTGTCACCCACCCCTGCCAGAGGATCGCCTGCCTGCAACGCGTAAAAAAACTCCCGTAAAACTCAGCCAGGACTGGAAAAGCCACGGGGAACAAGCAACCG